AAGCTGTGTTACTGTGCCTGTCTAAAATACCTAATGGTCTAATAAAGGGCTGAACAGTCAATAGCAAGGTAGGAGAAAGGATAGCTGGGGCTGGCAGGCAGAGAGAAGGAGAAATCTGGGAGAAAGAAGAAGTAGCCTGAGGAGGAGAAGGACACCAGGCACCAGCCACCCAACTACACAGCAAGCCATGGAGTAAGAGTAAGATTTGCAGAAGTAAGAGAATGGGAAAAAAACAGAGACACAAGATAGATGGGATAATTTAAGGAAAGCTGGCTAGAAACAAGCCAAGCTAAGGCCAGGCATTCATAAGTAATAACCAGCCTCCGTGTGTGATTTATTTGGGAGCTGGGTGGCAGGCCCCCCAACAGAGTCCAAGAGCAAAACCAATCAACAACAGGAATTAATGCCATTATCACCAGAGTGGGTTAGTTCCCATTGGAGTGGGCTGGTGATAAAATAATGGGTTCCTCCCTCCCCCTTTTCCTTCTTTCCCCCCTCCTTCCCTCTCTTTCTGGTGATGCCTTCCGCCATGCTGCCAAGGCATGGCTTCTGCACCCTGGATGTCCCACCTCCCAGCACTGTGAGCCATGCAAGAGTCTGCTTACTGTATCAATGGCCAACCTGTCTCAAAAGAGACTAAGCCAGTGTTTCTACCACAGCACACAGCTCCCTCCAGCCCAGATCACTGAGCTATTTTCTTAGCCAAGAAGTTTGTGCCACGGTATTCACATTGTGTCTTCCTGGTCATGTCAGCCTCAGGAGACAAGGAGAGCCTGGACCTGAACAGGACACACACAGGACTGCTCTCTGTCCTCGGTGTCCTGTGGGCCTTGGGAAGAGTGGGCTCCGTGCTCTGTGGGTATGTGCTGTGAACTTTGCCTTCAGCTAAGTCTGTAAACAGCATAGCCTCTAGATGACCCCCAAGCTTCCCTCCTGTTCATAATTAGGAAAGCCCCCACGTGCACACATGGGTAAATGCATGCTGCGATCAAGCAAGTCCCCCTCCCCTTTTTTTCTTTATGTGAACTATTTTGGCCTAATTCTTTTAGCTTTTTTTTCTCCTCAAAAAGAATGGCTAATATTTCATGGAGAAAGATAAGATCTTGGTTTAATAGAGTTAGCTTCAATTGACCTTGAACCGAATCTACAAATTTCTTCGAGGTGACCTCTTCATCGACGCTTGATACACATTCACAAATCAATGAACTGAGAAGATTCCCATTTAGATAACAGGTCCAATCGAGGCCCCAAAACAAAGGCAGATGGCTGGGGCTGGGGAGTGGGGTGGCAAAATGGGGGCATCCTGAAGGAACAGGGAATCTGAAGATGACAGAACGACAGGCTGTTAGGGTTACACAATGCGGAGCTAGAGGGGACCCCTCAGATGAAGGATGACAGATGACGGAACTGTGCGCTCATTGAAGAAGGGGCTTTTTATCACCTCCAGCATCAAAATGACACATAGTAGGGGCGCTGCAAATATTCCTTAAGCGAACAATGAAAGACCAAGGAAGCAAGGAAATGAAAAAGGAGCCAGAGGAACTAGGGAGAGATGGCTGTCGGTAAAGCTCACGAACAAGGACTGGAGTTCAATCCCCAAAACTCACATTCAAAAAAAAAAAAAAAAAAAAAAGCTGGGCATGGTGATATGAGCTTGTAACCCAGCATTAGGGAGATAGGGACAGGTAGAGGGCTTGCTGGCTAGTCAAGCTTAGCCTGCTTGGTGAATGCCAGGCCAGGGATAGACCCTGTCTCAGAAGAAAAAAAAACTAAAACAACCCAACATGGTGGTCAGCATCTGGGGATGACAGCGGAGATTGTTCTTACACTCCACATGTATACCCACATGTACACTGCACGTGTCTCCTGTGTGCACGGCCTAGAAGTATTCCTGTGGGAGTTGCAAGGATCATCCACAAAGGGATGACTTTTATTGCCAGATAAGTTTAGAAAACACTCATTTAAATGCTGCCTCAGTCGGTGGCTTCATCACAGGACTTCTCAGAGCATCGATTACACCAAAGGTGAAGACACACCTCCATGGGAGCCAAAGTGGATGCAGTTCTTATCAAAGTTGACTGCAGATGCCTCTGGATACGCCTTGAGCTGGCATGAAGGCGGCAGGGTGCAGCCGAAGCCTATGGGAGGACCACTCAGTGTGGTAATTCCCCGGGCTGACGTCACTCCCAGCAGCTTGCTCATCTTCGCCTCCTCTCAGTGTGCACTTGACTGTTTCATCACACGGAGCTGCCCTAGACCACATGCTCCAGCCACCCCTTCCCAGTCCTCTTGTCCTCCCTCTGGGCATAGGGCTCCACAGCAGGGGTAGAGTGAACGGTGCAGAAGGGGTTGAACACTCTGTTGTTTGGAAATGTCTCCCAGCCGACATGGCTGGTGCTCAGTAAAGTATTGGGGCTCTTCAAGAAATGTGGACAGAGAGGAGCCTAGGGAGACTGGAACGCCACTTTATCTGAGGGCAATGGCTGGGTCCCACAGCCCCTTCTGTCCCTGTCTGAGTCTCTGTTCCACAGACACCTCCTCCAATCTGAAAATTCACCTGCTTGTCCTCCCCCCCCCCATCCTTTACCCCACACTCTAATACCTGTCTTCACCACAAGGTTGTTTTCAGTATCTCATACCCTGTGTTGCTAGCAAGTGGTCCACAGGGCCAGGCTGTTGGCTTTGCTCTCTTCTGTGTCCCCAGCTTACTGGCACTGATTCTGCATTTGGCACCTGCACACACTGTGTGTGCACAGTGGACCCTCTGTGGATGCTGAGGGACTCACAGAGGGCTTGAAGCTGAGAAGCCATTCCCAGAGTCTCATTCCCAGAAGCCGTTCCCCACGGGACTGTGCAGAGGATGGATGTGGTATGTGAGCGAAGCATGATACTCTAAGATGTGACTCTGACGGCATCTCCTTGACAGGGAGTAAAAGCTTAAAGCATCCCAAACTGAGAGACATGGCCCGAGTGCCCCACACAGAAAGTCCATCAAGTGTTTTTGCTCAACATATTTTTATTGTCGCTGTTGATGACAATGTCTTCAGACAGCCATGCCACAGCTACTCATGTGGCCCACGTTGTGCTGTTAGGTAACTGAGCCAAAGATTTCCTTTCCCATTAAAAGACACAGGAAACCTTCCCAAACAAGCACAGAACCCATGCCAGAGACCCCAGCCCATTAAGTGTCAAGATAAGACGGGAAAGTCTCCTGGAGCTCCCGAGACCTAATCACAAGGTAACTCGTGGGACCTACCTCCAAGTTAGGTCCATGAGCTACCTTGTTCAAATGCTTTGGCTGTTCTGGGCACGTGGTCTAGTTGAATGGAGAGTTGGCCTCCCCTCTGGAGGTCAGCTGTGCAGAGGAAGACAAAGAAAAGGGAGAGGAAAGGAGAGGAGGGGGGAGGGGGTGAAATGGCTGTCCAAGAGAGACAGGTGGCCCTTCCAGGCCCACTCAGGGCTCAGGGCCAGCAAGCAGGTGAGATCAAGGGTGGTTTGTCCATGAAAGGCTGCCAGTGGAGAGCATGGCATAGAGCTCAAGGGGTGCAAAACCAAACGCCTCCCAGGCTATGTCCTGCAAGACCTGGGTCTGATAGGTGAGGCACTCGTGGTGCTGGCTGTGCCAGCTTGCAGATGGCCTTCACCACCTTGTAGCCCTAGTTTAGGCCCATGGCCACAGGATAGTGCAGGCCCATGGCTGCTGCTCATCAATGGCGGCCACAACAGGAAGCAAAGGTTAAATGTTTTCATCTAAGGGATATAGTATTAAGTCTCATCAATGCATCCAAGCCAGAGCAGCCTGTGATTCATGCATTCACTCAGCATATTTGTAATGAGTGCCTCCTGGATACTAACTAGTCCATCTGCTAGGCCCAGGGGAGATGTAAAAGCTGACTAAGATACTGCACCCCACAGCTTACAGTCTGAAGGGAACTAGAACACGCTTAACTCATTCTAAAACCCCGTTGTCTGGATCTATACCACAAACACAGCAAGCGTCTACTTATTGTTTGCTAATCAAACATCGGTTTTGATCACTAATCAAAACCATATCGGTGTAGATAAGAGAGACAAGAAAATTCCAGAGTTGTGTTGGAATACAGGGGGAGTGTTCAGAAGGCTGCTGCAGGGAGGGGTGTGAAGCCTCCTGGGGGATGGAGGAGGAAAGTCTGGCTCCCTTGCTTCTCCTTGAGACCCCAACAGGACTGGAGAGACCTGCTGGCCGGTTCCATTTCTCTCCAAGGACATCCCTGATGTGGCTTCCAAGGGCACCCAAGGGATGAGGGGTTCCCTGGATTCACAGAAGAGATGGAGACATCAGTTGCCCCTCTGGATGTCTCTAATCAGCACCCCTCACTAGCTGGGAAGAAATTATGGTCTCCCCAGCTCTTCTCCCTCTTGGACCGAAGCAGAAGGCAGCTGTGGAGGTTCCCGCAGCCAGGGCCCTCTGTTCGGTGCCTAGGGAGGCTTCAGGTGCCTGAAGAGCGGGAAGACCCAGTCACACCCCTTCATTAACAGCACGGGCCAAATTGGAAACAGCTGTAAATAATTAGACAATTTAAGTGCTGTGAAAGAGGAATAATTCTGCAGCCTTCGTAATAAATCTTAGGCTGTCTCGGTCTCTACACCGGACCTAAACTTTTTCCCTTTTTTTTTTTTTTTTTTTTTTCCTTCCTTTTTGCCAGGGCGACTTAACACATTACTCATAAAAGAAACAGTGTCCCTTTTGTTTAGGCCGGGTCTGCTTAATAACAAAAGAGCCCGTGGCAATTACAGGGGCAGCTGGGTGACAGGGAATGCCCTCCTCTGACTGGCTCAGGGGCTCCAGGCCCGACAGCAGCCCCCTGACCCACAGGCTTGTCCGGTGCGCCTTGAGGTCTGCTCAAAGAGATCTGTGCTTTCAATTGGCTCCAGATTCGGAGGATTGTGACAGAAAAGACTCAAATGTGTCCCCACCAACAAGCAGGACCTGGAGCACACACACAGGGTTGAGTCACCACGGAGGCCAAGCACCTGTCGGTTTTATCCCCATGATCTAGGCAAAGAGAAAGGGAAGCGGGGGTCCGAGGTCAAGGTAGAGAGGACCTGGCATGGCAGACGGTCCTGTTGAGTCTGGCCGAGTCCGAGCTCGCTAGCACTGGGAAGCTTGCTTCAGACCCGGCGGAGCGGTTTGCAGCTGATTAAATAATCAAAATCACCGTGGGCTCCCGGCACAGTAGCGCAACAGCTGTGAGAGCATCCTGGAGGATTAAGTGTGAACTTGGAAGCCAGGCTTGGCTTCTTCTACTGCCACTCTTGCTTCCTAACCGTGGTCCTGGGTGAGCCATTTCCCCCCTCTAGAGGCCTCCATTTACTCATCTAAGAAATGGGTAGAAAACAGATTCCAAAGTCTGTCATGAGGATAAATGAAGTCACACATACATGCTTGAACCCAGACCCTGCCCCATGTCCTTTGTTCTGTATCGTGACGTAGTTGTCATTATCTTTCCTTGATATAACTTTTAAATCTGTTTACGAAATCAGAAATTCTTCATGGATATTCCAAAATAAATACATACATAGCCTTAAAGAGAGGGACAGCCATGTCCACCATGCATTCGTGCCTCTATTAAACCATGTTTGTGTGTATTAATGAGCTTGGCAATGAAGTACAGTCCTACCCAATAAATGGGGAATATACATGAAAGACATCAAAGTCTCAGTATCACTAAAGTCCCAGTTAACCTAGGCACTCAAAGGGCCACCTCACACGAACTCATTCTTAGAACTTCAAAAGACGATGAATGAAAGAGAATGAGGTTTCAGTCGGCACAGAAGGCTCCTGATCTGGAGAGCAGAGCTAGCTCCCCTTAATAACTGCCCAGTGAAAGAAGCTTAGGACCATTTTACACAGTGATTACAACAAACTCCCAGGTACCTCGGGGAACACAGTGTCCACATACCACCCTCATCTCTCTGTCACCCCGTGGCTGGCCTTAAGATGCTCCCCTACAAAGCATCTCTCCCAGTCTGGTCTCTATGGTGACTCTGCAAGGCTCTTCTGGAGCAGCTCTCTCTGGTCTTTCAAAACCAAGCTGAGAGCTTCAAGGTCCTCTGGCCTGGGGCTGAACAATGACTCTTTAGTCCTGAACCCTTTCTGCTCAGACACTGGAGGTCACTGGGCCCTGGGAGACAGCTCGGGGGATGCCAGGCATCTTCTGCTGCCAAGGACCAGGCCACAAAATGGAGGGGCTCACAGGATGCTCCCCTCACCCACTGCTGATCAGCCCTTGAAGGGAGAACCACACCCCAACCAAGGTGGACAGACATGGGTTGGGGTAGAGACTTCCAAGAGTGGGGAGTCCGTTAGAACATTAGCTACTTGTGTTATCACTTATACAATACCCTGGGTTTGAAGACATTTAAAACAATAAAACTATGGGGCAATATTAAAAAGAGAAGCCATGGAGGGGTTGTTCCCTGAGACATGAGTCCTCAGACTGGAGAGGCAACAACCCCCCCACCCCACCCAATAGCTCATTCAACCAGCCTCTGGGCCCTACCCAGAGTATCTGACCTGCATGGGATCTGAGAATATGACATGGCTGCCATACTCCCTGATGACATGTAGTGGGTAGCCATTCCAGCTTTGATCTGGAAGTTCCAACCCCCACGGAGGCTTCGGTAACTGTCACGCCTACAAGGCGGGGCCAAGAGAGGACCCTGAAGACCCGAGATCTGGATATGCTGCCTCTCTTGGTTCCTGGACCCTGGATGCTGGAGGTGAAAAGAGCAGAGTTTTTCAGAGAACACTGCCAGACTGTGCCACGTCTTCCCCAGACCCTGCAACCTACCTATCCCTTCATTTGTAAGTTCCACCACTAAATAAACCTCCCTTTTAACTACGTGGAGTAGCCTTAATAATTTCACCAATAGTGACATCCAGTGACCATGCTTTGAGACTCATATTAAGCCAATGTACATTCAAAGTGTTAGGGTTTTTTAAAAAAAATCTACCCACCACCAAAGAAAAATGTCTCCCCAGGAGACTACAGTGTATGCCTGGGGGCTGGGAACTTCCTGTGAAAGGATCCCACAGATGCCTCTTGGAGTTCCCAGTCCAACGACAGTGGCCTCACAGCCACTGTCGACCCCAGTGTCTGTGCTAGCCTGTCCTGGGTAGCATTTGTGTGGGTGGCAGGTTCTCCCCACAATCCCTAGTGTCTAAGGAAGTTCTGGTTTCTTTGAAATTATACCAGTGCCTCCGTAATTCTCTGATGATAGGGTTGCCCAGGGTGAAAGCAGGCATTGACTGCATGTGGGGAGAGAGAGGGAGGGCGGGAGGCACGGAGCCGGAGGACACCCACACAGTGCAGCTGGGCCGGGCTGGGGGCACCACCACAGCCTCACCCAAGGGAAGGACTAGAGAAGGCCTCATTTGATGGTGAAACCATTGCAGAGTGGCCTTGGCAGGAGATTTGGGGGCAGCGGATGCCAAGCTGGGATCTGTAACCTTTAAGTTCGTTTCTCAGGGTTGCCGTACATGAGCATCAACTTGGCATCTTAAAATAGCAGGCAGCGGAGCTGGAAATCAGAGTGTCAGCAGACCATGCTCCCCTGAGGGTGGTCAAGGTGCTCTACCTGACCCTGTCCAGCTTCTGGTGACTCCAGGTGGTCCTTGGCTGGTGGTAGCATGGCTCTGAGCACTGCCTCCATGACCACATGGTCTCCTCTGTACATATCTCCCTCAGGTATCTCATAAGAACACTGATCATTAGATTCAGGGGCCCCACCCCACACAATGTAAAATGATACTATTTCGGTATTATTGGCATCACAAAGACCCTTTTCCCAAAGAAGGTCAATTCATGGGGTCTGCGGTTAGGACATGGACACCCACCTGTGTCTAGCCAGTCTTTGTAGAGAGGGGGACTGATTTATGCTCTCCACACTCTTTCTCGGTGTTGCATAAGGAAGAAGCCACATCTCCTGAGGTCCAGATTCCAGAGTCAGGATCTTAGGAGTGGGAGGAAAGAAAGAGGAGGAAAGAGGAAATCGGGGAAGGAATAGATTAAGAGGAATACAGCATCCTTCCCAGAACCAATTCCCCTACAAGCCTGGCAGCCATCCAGCACTAAGCAGACTCCAGCAAAGCGAGGGCCACATCGTCCTTAATGACCCTCCCTGGACTTCCAAGGTGAGTGAGTGGCTTTTATGCTTCAAGTGGCCATGTCTGCTCCATCCTTCAAATGGAGTTCCAGCACAACTCTGGCGCCTGCCCAAGAGAGCTATTAACTGTTCTCTCAAATGTCCCAGAGTTCTAGGACTGGGGTCAGGAGGGAAGGATACACTGCAACAAGGCAAGGCAATGGGTTCTGCTGAGAGGCCAGAGACAATGCTCATCGAGTCATCCTACAGAAGCATTCCGGGAGGAGACTGTAAGGTTCCGGAAGTTCCGGAGACAGGCTAGCTTCTACACTCTACTACAAAAGTTCTATCAGTATAGTGGATGTCACTATAAAAGTATAGCCCTCAGAGATATTTGTTTTTTCTTTTTAATGGTTTCTAGGAAAGCAAGGGGTGTCCTGACAAAGGCTGGCTTGTGGCTTTGTCGTAAGTTTCAAAGGTAATAACAATACCACATGCAGAATAGTTCAAATATCAGCCTTCAGTGGTTGAGGCCACACTGTGTTGGGCAGAAGTGGCCAGGCCTCAGGCTGCAGCTGTCTGGGTATATCCTGGTCGAGAGGGGCAGCAGGCCCCCACGCTCAGAGGATGGACCATAGTCTGCCTGTGTCTGATCTCTTACAGTTGTTCTCAGCTGAAGAGAGAGTTACACCACATCACCTCCTTTCTCCCTTGTCATTAAGCAGGGGCTTGGGAAGGGGATGTGGAGATTGAGACCACAACAGGAAAAAAAGAAGGCATGAGCCAGAGGTCGTGAGGGTCCATGGCTGTGGGGTCAAGGTTAAGACAGGGTGAGTGGGTTTTACTCCAAAGACAAAGGTAGCAAGGAGCCACCTGCCCACAGACCTGTGTGCAACACAGATGTTCTCCTAAGAACGCATGTCACACGTGAGCAAGGGGTAAAGTTGAAAATTTTCATTATACAAAAAGAAATATGTGATAGAAATCTAGAACACACATGAGTAACTTCCAAAGATACTCTGCAAACAGAAAATTAAATATTTGCAGCTTGCCACAGAAGAAAGGTGAGTCTCTTACAGCTAATACGCCTATATATCATAAGCAAAGGACCACAGCTAAACAGGAAATCTACAAAGGAATTGAATAAACAGATCACAGTAAAAGAAATAAAGGCCTGCTTTAAATGTGTTCAAACACACCCTAAATGCACTCTTGGTAACAGAAGTATGAATAAAGTATGAGATTCTCTCTTTAAATACTCAGTTTACAAAGATCAAAACCTATATATTTATACATATTGTTTGAGGTAGAGGATGACAACAGTCATCCTTTGGAAACTGAAGTTCAATGTACACACTCCTAACCCAGCAACCCCAGTCCAGGACTCTGCCTCTAAAATAAAGAAATAAAAATAAAATAAATATGTAGGTGAACCAAAGCTATGATGTGTGCTTATTCTAGCATTGTGATTTCCCTGAGCCTTAAAATCCCTTCATCAACATTAAGCCAGGGACATCAGGTATCTCCAACTCCTTTTCAGTTGGCCATCTTATGACAAATGCTTCAGCCAACCATTCAAACTTTGGATAGCTTTTTTTTTGTATTTTTTTATAATTATATTTTTTATTTATTATTTTATTTTATAATTAATTTAATTTTACATATCAGCCATGGATTCCCCCGTCTTCCCTCCTCCCACTCCCCAACCTTCTCCCCAATCCATGCCCCATTCTCACCTTTTCCAAGGCAAGGTCTCCACTGGGGATTCAGCTCAGCCTGGTAGATTCAGTTGAGGAAGGTTCAGTCCCCTCCTCCCTACACCAAGGTTGAGAAAAAATGTCTCAGCATAGGCCCTAGGTTCCAAGAAGGCAGCTCATGTACTAAGGACAGGTCCCAGTCCCACTGCCTGTGGGCCTCCTAAATAGTTCAAGCTAATCAACTGTCCCACTGGTTTGGCTATTTGTCCCTGTGCTTTTTCCAATCATGGTCTCAATATTTCTTGATAGCTTTTTTTTTTTTAAACTGTGAGAGCTTCCATATTAAACCTAGGATCTCTACTCAGTAGGCCCATGTCCTAGGATTTCTACTGCTGTGCGGAGACACCATGACCATGGCAACTCTTATAAAGAAAAACATTTAATTAGGACTGGCTTACAGGTTCAGAGGTTTAGTCCATTATCCTTATATTGGGAAGCATTTCAGTGTGTAGGCAGACATGGTGCTAGAGAAGGAGCTGAGAGTTCTATATCTGAATCAGCAAGCAGGAGAGAGAGAGAGAGAGAGAGAGAGAGACAGACAGACAGACAGACAGACAGACAGACAGACATACAGGCATGGCCTGACTTGAGTCTCTGAAACCTCAAAGCTCACCCCCAGTGACACACTTCTTCCAATGAGGCCACACCTACTCTAATGGACACAACTCTGAGTAGTGCCACTCTCTATGAGGCTGTGGGGACTATTTTCATTCACACCACCACATTTCACTCCCTGGCCACCAAAGACTTACAACCATCATAATGCAAAACGCATTTAGTTCAACTTCAAAAGTCCCCATAGTCTATCACAGTTTCAACAATGTTTAAAAAGTCCGAAGTTCAAAGTCTCTTCTGAGATTCATGGCAATCTCTTAGCTGTAACTCCTTGTAAAATCAAAATGAAAAAGCAGATCACCTATTTCCAGCATACACTGACATAGAATATACATTACCATTCCAAAAGGGAGGAAAGGCAACCACATTCTATGATTCAATGGGAAACTACAACAACCTAATCCAGGCAGGATGACAAAGGGCACAGACACACCAGGAATGAAAGTATGGATCTCTCCTCCAGGAAAGGAGCCAAGACTTGATGAGTTTCTTGCCAAGGGTGAAGAAAATACAGAATGGGTGATAGAGGAAGGTAGTTATAAATGCCAGATGAGGCCATGTGACCAGTTGCAGAAACGAAGTTGACATGAGTGTTGGCTAATTTTACCTTTTCCTTTGTCAATTTATCCAGACATGCTAGGAGTAACTAACCAGCAGCATCATTTTCCCACAAGTTGTTGAAAGTTTTATGTACAGAGTCACCAAATCTGTTACCTCCCACAGTTGGTGAATCAAGATAGCCAAATGCATGTATCTCCTTAAGTTTGTAAAATAGTTCACACCACGGGCTTTCTGTAATCTCTGAGCTTCCAGAAAAGGTTTCAGTAACTGTCAGCGCTGGCAAATTGAGAATCCTATTCTGGATACTTAAAATTCATCCTTATACTTCTGTTACCATAGAACCATTTCTGTATCAAAATCTGTATTCAGGTTCTCTGAAGGAACAAAACTGATAATGTATAATATATGCATATATAATGTGATACATTATATGTAATATATCATATTAATATAACATATATATTATAGGATTTATTAGAATGGCTTACAGGCTGTGATCCAGCTAGTCCAGCAATGGCTATCTACCATAATCACACGGATGATGCCAAGTCCTGCAAGTTTAAGATGTAGCTGGGCCCTCTTGGATCACAGCTACTGTCCTAGTTGGAGTTTCTATTGCTGTGATGAAACACCGTGACCAAAGCAACTTGAGGAGGAAAGGGTTCATTTAGCTTATGCTTCCACATCACTGTTCATTATTGAAGGAAATCAGGACAGGAACCCATGCTGGGCAGGAACCTGGAGGCAGGAGCTGAGGAGAGGCCATGGAGGGGAGCTGCTAACTGCCTTGCTTCCCATGGATTGCTCACCTAGGACTACCAAGCTACAATAGGTTGTACCCCTCTCAACACACATCAACCACTTATTAAGAAAATGCCCACAGCAATGCTTCTCAGCCTTCCTAATGCTGCTACCCTTTAATACAGTTCATCATGTCGTGATAATGCCCAACCATACAATTATTTTCGTTGCTACTCTGTAACTGTGATTTTGCTACTGTTGTGAATTGTAATGCAAATATCTTTGTTTTCTGATGGTCTTAGGTGACCCCTGTGAAAAGACTCCCAAAGGGGTCACGACCCATGGGTTGAGAACTGCTGCCTTACAGGCTTGCCTGCAACCCAATCTTTTTTTTTTTAATTAATTTTTTAAAATTGATGTTACATACAAACCACAGTTTCCCCTCCCTCCTCTCCTCCCGTTCCCTCCCCTCCCCTCCTTCCTCCCCACCCTCATCCACTCCTCAGAAAGGGTAAGGCCTCCCATGGGAGTCAAAAAACGCATGGCAGGACTAATCTCCTACCCCCTGCTTCAAGGCTGAGCGAGGCATCCCAACATAGGAAATGGGCTCCCAAAAGCCAGCTCATGCATCGGGGACGGATCCTGGTCCTACTGCTAGGGACCCCACAAACAGACCAAGCCACACAACTGTCACTCACATGCAGAGGGCCTAGGTTGGTCCCAGGCAGGCTCCCTAGCTGTCAGTCTAGAGTCTGTAGGCTCCCATGAGTTCAGGTCACCTGTCTCTGTAGATTTCCTGTCATGAACTTGCCCCCTCACCCTCCTTGCTCATGTAATTCCTCCTCTCTCTCTTCAACAGGACTCCTGGAGCTCAGCCCAATGCTTGCCTGTGGATCTCCGTATCTGTTCCCATCAGTTACTGGATAAAGGTTCTATGATGACAGTTAAGGTAGTCTCCAATTGGTAATCTCCCCATAATGGCCCCCTCTATCGAGATATCTCTTTCATTGCTCTCCCTCTCTGTTCCTCCCCCAACTCAATCATCCTGATCCCTCATGTTCCCATTCCTCATCTCCTCCCCCTTACCCCCTCCCCCAACCCCCAGTTTACCCAGGAGATCTTATCTATTAACCCTTCCCAGGGCAATCCATGGATCTCTCTTAGGGTCCTCCTTGTTATCTAGCTTCTCTGAGGCTGTGAATTGTAGGCTGGTTATCCTTTGCTTTACATCTAATATCCACTTATGAGTAAGTACATACCATTTTTGTCTTTCTGGGTCTGGGTTACCTCGCTCAGGATGTTTTTTTTTTTTCTAGTTCCATCCATTTGGCTACAAATTTCATGATGTCATTGTTCTTTACTGCTGAGTAATACTCCATTGTGTTTATGTACCACATTTTCTTTATCCATTTTCGGTTGAGGAGCATCTAGGTTGTTTCCAGGTTCCAGTTATTATGAATAATGCCTACAACTCAATCTTATGGAGGCAATTTCTCAATTGAGGTTCTCTCCTCTCAGATGACTATTGCTGTGTCAAATTGACATAAGGCTAGCCAGAACAGCTGCAGTAGACTCCAAG